TCTTGAATTTTAGAACGTAAGGAAGCAAACGTAAAAGAATGTTAATATAAAATATGTAAAAATAGTGAGTCAGAGACCGTAAACGTAAAACCGTAGAAGTCTTGCGTATCGTAAGCACGTAGAATTATTAAAACGTAAGAACGCAAGACCGAAAAATTATTTAAAGTGTTGTAAGAACGTAGGATTTGGGAATATTTAGATGCTACAAAAATTAAAATAAGCTGAGAAATATAAAACTAAAGTTGAAAAAAAAAACAGTCAAACGCAAACTTTAAACCGTAAGAATGTTAAAACGTAAACGTAAGAAATGTAAAATTGTGCACAAAAAAAACTTAGATACAAAACGCAAGCTTTGGGCGTAAGAATGCAACGCAACGTAAGGGCGTAAGAATTAAAGAACGTAAAACACAAATTTTATTGCGTAAGAACGTTAACGTAGCAGTTAAAATCCTAAAAACGTAAATATTTAAGAATCGTAAAAACCTAATTAATTAATTAATTAAACAATTAATGACACAAACGTGAACTTTAGGACGTAAGAATACAAACATAAGTGTTAAAGAATCCAGAAACAAAATAATCTGAGCATCATAAGAGGAAATAAAAGTAAAACGCAAACCTTAAAGCGTAAGAACGTAACATTAGAAAGTTAACACTTAAATAGCTGCGAAACGTAAATGTAAAAAATTCAGTAGTGTAAGAACGCAACCGTAAAAATGTAAACGTAAGCTTGAAAAAACGTGTTTTATAACGTTTTCATATTAATGTGCATCGAAGTAGTCGTTGAAAAGGATCACTTTAAGGTGGCAACCATGCAAAAATTCAAACAATCCTAACCTCAATCTTCCCTAAAAATATTTTTTTTCAAATAAATGTGTACCCCACGTAAACATAAGGTAGCAAATATAAAGGTTTTTCTCATTATTGATGTGATTGAATCTGACATTAATGACACTTTATGTGTGAATCGGCCTTTAAGTTAAAGATGGATTTAGACTTCTACAACCGCAAAATGCTTACGTAAGAATGGAAAACCGAAAAAAAAGTGTTGCTACAACAAAAATACGTAAAAAAAGCTTCAAAAACAAGAAATAACTGAAAAAACAGACTAAAACAAAGTAAAAAATCAAGTGGGTGTGTTTTTGGTGATTTTTTTCTTGTTATGGTGTCTGCACTGGCCGTTGCCAAGGTGATGAAAAAACATTCAAAGAAAAATGTCGATTAAAAAAATTATGGAATTAATTTAATTTTAATTAAGTTTCAGTTAATTGTTTGTTAATTTTCTCCAATTCTTTGATTGTTGAATTCGCAGTTTGTAGTTTGGTTTCCATATCTTCGCAGAGCGGTTTTGTGACCTTTGACACGATTTGGACCAACGCAAGGGTTTGTAGGGCATTGTTGTGCAAAATCGTTAATTGGTCCTCGAGACAGTCCCCTTGCCCCTCGTGTCTTTGCACCTCCTCTTGTGTGAGAATCCTCGACAGACTTGAAATACTTTCTAGGTTATTTTTGTAAAACTCCGAGTCTTGTATTGCGATTTCGATTTCGCGTCTTTGGTACTCCGCCCCCCGTTTCAGGGCTTGGAAAGCCGTCAATTGGACGTGGTTGTCGGTGGCCCCAGCGCCACTCTCGTTCTGGTAAACGGAGAAGATCAGCCCCACGAAAAGGGGGTCCATGGTTTGGTACATGAGTTGGGTCCTAACATCTAACATTTGAGGGGTTAGGAATCACGCAAGGGGGCGCAACTTGCCTACGTGGCTGGGCCACACGGTGATGTGGGGGTGCGAGTGGTACCACCCCAAGACGCGCATGGGGCGGTGCAGCTTGGAGGCGAGTTCCTCCGCGTATCCACTTGCTGTGCACAGCTGCTCGGGGGAGATTTCCACCCTGTCGGGCTGTTTGTCACTCCGGTGGAGGATTACACCGGCGGAAATGTACGAAATGCAGGAGGCTTCGTCCACCTCGCCGATGAGGAGCCCCATGACCTCCTCCTTCTCCGTGGTTAAGGCGTGTTGGAAACAGGCGGCGTAAACGTCGCTATTCAAGACAACTTTCTTCAAATACTTTTCCTCAGAGATCATTCTGAAATTTTTGGCCCAAAATCACTAAAACGACAAAAATACTGGCAATTAACCCCGATTTCGGCCACTTTAATTGGAAAAATGCGGTTTTTCAGCGCATTATCACGAAAGTTGGGTTATGTTTACGTGACGTGGGGATTTTATCTGTCACAGACTGTGATGTCAGATGGGGTCAAGCCCTAGATTGTCGAGTCAAAATTCCCTAAGCTAAAGAAAAAAAACTACTTTTTTTATAAATGAATTTTATTGAAACAAATAAACGTAAAATTGAGTATTTGCTTCAGCAACGTACTTAAACATTCAAAAAGTTGAAAAACAACAGGGTTTCCTCTTAATTTAGTAATTTTTTAACTTATTTTTGATGAAATTTGCGAAATAATTGTATTTTTGACTTAAAAACGTTCTGAAACGCTCAAAAAATGAACGAATATCATCAAATTGATATTTTTTTGTGTTATTTTTGACAAAATTTTGTTAAATAATTGCGTTTCTACTTTAAAACGTGTTAAAACATCCGAGAAAGGCGAAAAA